GAATACGATAGGCTATATAGTATAGATAAGTCTAACTTTCAAATCATTGGAATGTCATCCAATGATATAAATTTCTAACTTCAATCTATTTACGATATTATAGAATCATCCTCTATCGTCGTTGACAATTGTTTCATTCCTAGAATGATTGAAATCTCCTGGTTTTCGGTTTCTCCCTAGAACTTCAGAATTCACTTTGTAAAGTTTGTCAGTATTGAGCGCATGGTCAAATTTTTGTATAGAGAGTTGTGGAGATTGTTATTTTTGTCAGATCATATTACGCACTGACTTCAGATAGTAAACTGTTGCATATCAAGAAGTACTAAACAGATTCTTCGTCCTAGGACTGGACTCATCAGTGGAGCTTATAAGCTTATTGTTGTGACTTTAAGCCCAGCTAGTTATCACGTGATTTATTTGCCAATTGAAATACTACTTATTCAATATGAGTATTGTGCTAAACTAATGACGTTCGACCGGTATGATCAGCCTTGCGTCCTCATTGGTCATTTGTTCGCCTAGCTTGTCCAGTTCAGTCCAGGACACCAATAACAACTTCCACTATGCGAGTCATTTATTTCAAATATGCTCGGTTTATATACCAGTCAAACAGACTCCATCACACCATAAAATAGGAAATAATATATATACAAGACCAATCCAAAAAGTGGCTGTGAATGTGGGAGACAGTAATTAATAAATTGAGTATAACATAAGAACAGTAAATTGTAAAATAATAATCTATAAGTCAAAATGAAGCTTATAACAAGATGAACATAAATAAACATAATCTAATTATTGAATAGTTATACACTAAGAATATTAGTCCATTAATAGATCTCAGAAGTTACCCGTAATTTAATCTTCACTAGGATATAACACATACTGACATATAAGCTTCTTGTATAGATTTTTTGATATTATCCTATTTGATATCATTTGTGCTTAATATAAGAAAATTTGAGTTGCCGTTTATTGTATTTTGAAAGGCGTTAACTAAATTTACAAGCTTTTCGTTAAATAGACATGTGTAAAGTATATTTTCTTGATAAATTTACTTATCATACAACTCATGACATCAAATAAATTATTATTTCAAGGGATGATTTTTAAACTATTTTTGTATGATATCTCTAATAAATGGATTTATACACTTCAAAAACTGGTTAAGTAGTCCATTCCAATTTCGGGAATTCTAATAACAGACTGAGATTAGTAGAATCAGTCATGTCGGGAGTGTATCAGTCATCTACCAGTGGCATTGGATGATAGTCGTGTAATATTCTGAATTGATTAAAGTCATACATATAAACTACTAATACATTATAATGCACTTCATTTATTAAGTATAAGTGATTCTGTGTGAATCTTGAATAAAACTTGGGACTACTTAGTGTTATACGTTCGCTAAATTTAAATAACTCCAAAAGTGTAAATATTATTAACTACTCATAACTACTACTGAGTTCTAAAACAAACAAAGCTAATATTATGACAAATAGACGGGAAATCTTGGCCCGTAGTGTAGTCTTGCATGTTCGCTGCTGGGGGATCTTATACTAGGTCGAGATATTTGCCGACTGATTCCTGGTTTTCAATGGATTTTTCACTAAAGTAATTCCACGATGCAAAACTATTAATCAATTCACTTGTAAATATACCGATAACCGTAAAATACAGTTACTTTTGATGCTCTGCATTTACGTTATAAGAAATCATTCAAGGGGGAGTTGAACAAGAAAAGATAGTGTATAATTTAGCAGTTAGAATATCAGTCCATAATGATACGCTTTGGCAGGATAATAATTGATTAAATCACCCCCACCTACTTGTAAGTAGTATATATACATATTCTTCTATTCATTGAAGAATTCAGTTCATTTCATAAGATAACTTAATCGAACTGTTAGGATTATTCTACTGTTTTTCTCCCTTTGTAAAGATTATTTACAACAACAATGGTGTGTTTTTATTAACTGAATTATAATAAACCGGCTTATCATTATGCTAAATAACTAAATCAGATATTTTATTGTGTCAAAATTTGTATTTAAAGCTTTAACAATTAATTGACTTTGAATGCTCTAAATTGACTGTTATCTATATGCATAATGATGCCCATTTTTGCACATCCTACATGTTTTGTATCAGTACACGCGAGAACGTTTAATGTGACTTTCTTCATACACTGAAAGTAACTAGTTAACCTAAAAAGATCATTTATAGCTCAACAGTTAACTTGTTATATTTTGAGACCTACCAATAGCGCACACTTATAATCATGCTGAGATACGAACCCAGTACACTTAAGTTTTTTGGAGAACGCAACACTATATAACCTGAGTTAGAACCTAATATTTTACATTTTGCAACTTGAACCATCTTTTGGAAGTGTGACTATTGCCAAGTTTTTACTAGATAACGTCCTCCTCTTTCGCGACTTAGCTGACCCGGAAGATTACATCTCGAAACTAAAACTGTGGTAAGTTGGCCCTGAAGAGTGTATATGCTAAAATAACAACTTGTTGACCAGACAAAGCAGCGACGCCTTTTTGTCTTACTCATAAGTTTAAGCTTAAATAAAGAAAATGAGTATATTTCACTTAGGAAACCAAACAGATATACTCTTTCTGGTAAAATTGTTGTCACCATATTTATCAAAAAAATGATAATTTAGGACCAACGAGACACTGTATTATGTAGAGCATTGATTTACGGTTGTCTAACTATTTGTCTTTGACCAGCATGAACTCTGAAGAACAGCAAAGAAACTACTTTATTGATTGGGTTTACTTGTACAAAAGTTGTTGACTTCATATCTTTCTTGCTTATGGTCTGTAGTAACTACTAAATGGATTCAATAAGGATCTCAATTACTATTGAACCTGAAGAAGAGTAACTATCACTCTCATCTGGTGAATGTTTTTACGCTTGGTTGAGAAGTTTATTAATGCATAAAAGTTTTTACTATATGACTACTGACAAGTGGTTTATCTGCAACATGTCATACACATTTATAATTGATATTTGTGCCGACGAACAATGCGGCATGATTTTGCTGTCGCTATTTTTGGTCAATCAAATTGCTTAAATATAATTTTTGATGGTTACATTTTGATCGTCATACTAGACAGCATCATCAGCACAAGCATCATAATGAAGTGAACCAAGAAATTTATACTGTTGGTTACAATTCTGTTATAATTAATAGGCAATTAATTTTAGCATTTGTATTATCACTGAACCTTATGTAGCTTTATTGGCTACATAGTGACGTGAACGTTTGGTTTGAAACCCTTCATCATTCTGCTAATGGACTAAAAATTAATTAAATACGAGCTGACTTATAAGCTGATGAGTCGTGTAGTTTTTCATTTCTGTTTAAGTCACATTTGTCGAAAAATTACACTTTTCTGTCAGATTGACACCTAAGGTTATCATTATTCACTTATACAACAGTAAACGTTCCTACACCCTTAATCACTTATTGTTGTTTTCACATAAAGGTACAAAGATGTTTCTCACAGCACTCAATGCAGTATTATTCCCATAGTTGTCGAAATTCACTCGGTATGCAATATTACTTAATTTGCACTGCTTTTTAAAAAATGAATGACCTTAAAATAACAGTAGCAAGATTAACAACGCGCATTTTATGGTTTTATCAGGTAAAGTTCTAGAGATAAATTATTATTAACAGTGTGTTTACTTGAGTGTTCATATATTCTTTTTCGAAAGAACTGAAATTGAGAATGTTGATATTACATTTCTAAAATTTTCATGTATAACTTAGTCACAAACATCTCTACTAAACATTTTCGTTGTAATTATCCGACTTAGACGTTTTGTTTGTGGTCAATACTTATAATTTTCGATAAAGAATGTTTTGGAAACTGAACTTTTGAAATGTAAATTGATAATAAGCAATTTGCTACTGGTACTTTGTAGAATTGTCAAATAGATGTTATGTATAAAAGATGAGCAGATTATTGTGAGAAAATCTTCACTAAAACTTTATTTGATCACATCTTAATGAAACAAAAATCCTCTGGATATGCCAAGTAACTAAACCTTAATGTATTTAATCGAAAAAAACAAGACGTAAGCCTGGTATCGGACACATATCTACATTAGTTCAAGTTTCCATGCTACACACAAACGATATAGATAGCTCAAAAATGACTCAAAGTGCGAGTGTTAGACTTGAATGTGGTGGAAAACAAAATTTTAAACAACTACTGAACTGAAGAGAATTTAGAGAACAAATAAACATGTGAGAAAAACATGTAGATATCTCAGTTGGTTAAATAATGATAGAAAAACATGCAAGGCCTTGCTTTTCAGGACATAGCTTATAAGCAAATATATGTTTTAACAAAATAAACGGAACACACTGGTATATAGCGGTTTCGTGCTACCGCAATACTTTATAAGGACTAAGAAAATATGTAAGAAGATGCTAAAATATAGGGTAGATCTCAATAAGCTGCGTTCAAATTTTGACGCTTACGCGTAATTATGAAACGATATAACACTTTCACCTTTATCCTTTTCAACAAAAGACAGACTATGTATATCGAACACATCTATGCCTAGCATATCAAAAGCTTCGCCCTAGATCTCTAATATTAACTTTAATAACTTAATGCACGTACTTAAACGTTGATCCTTCTGAAAATCATACAGCAGTTTCAGCGACTATTGAAAATATGATTCAGCATGTATCATGTATGGTTACCACTTCGCCGACTTTTATGCACAATTTCACCTTATGATCAGTTGTCTATTGACAAAATAATGGGTTTTTCAAAACACCCGGTTTTTCGGTGACAATCGTTATACGGCTAATACATTATGTTATTTACTATAGCTTAATGAACTACTAATAAAGGCTATAAAAAGATGTTATCATTTTTACTGGTTTTGAACTGTTTTCCCTTGATTTTGATGGCCTTTCGACATTCATAATTTATTTTATGCTTTTTAAAATAAGTTCTAGGTACCAATAATAATCAATTTATATCTCATGAACATGAATAAAAACTTAATACCAGTATCATAATTTCCACACTCGTATGCATATATTTCCATTAAAATTCTTCTCAAGAACTACTAAAAGTATACAACCTATTATAGGGAAGAATTCTGTGGCTGAATAAAAGATGAATAGATAAAACAAGACAATGTTTCATTCGGAAAATACAACAATCTAGATTCCGCAGTATCGTTATCATTATACTGCTGTTGCCAAAACTTAAAATAAAAGAATATATACACAAATAAAATATATCAACCGATGTTTGAGTAAATTTTTCTACAAAAATGGAGCTAAATCATAAAACAAACTGTTCTTACCAATTAAAAATATTTAAAAATTTATAACGCGCCTGGTAAGTTAACAGATTGTTCAGGTAAAAATAATAAAAGACTTAAAAAATACGGCAGTTATTGATATAAACCAAAAGTCTTGATGTTAATGCTCTGAATATTAGAAATCTGGGGAACCGATCTATATTGATAAACTTTGTTCCTCCAGTTAATACAAAGATTAATGTTGATCAGAAATGGCAAAATATGTTTCTAATACTTTAAATTACTGCAGCATGCAGGATTCATAAGTTGGGACCATATATTTTATATTTATGAAAGCATTTTCTCCCCCATGCATTTCAAGTATTTCCAAAGTTTCGTGAACCAAATCACCCAAATTCTCACGTTTTTGTTGACTGTAATCAATTCCGTCGCCCAAATTTTTGTTTTTATTTATAAACGTATTCATAACTGGTAACAGTTGTCTGTAGTATGGCACAAGGGCTTCTCCAATCATTTCGCCAGAAACGACTAGATGTTGAATGGCTTTGAGGACTGTGCAGCAAACTTTATGTTGACGTAAGTTAAGAGCAGACTTTATTGGAATAATAAGTTGTGGTATGACAGGAAGGATTTTGTTTCCTCCATGTTCAAGTAAATCATGAACACCTTTATCTTTAGATTATATTCATTTACTTACCTTGCCTTGCAAAGAATTCATATGGATGTTCAGTTTCTGCTAGGCCTTCAAAAAATAGTGGCAAATAATGATGGTAATCCAGCTTTTCAATTTCCACTTTCCAAGCAATTTTGTTGCCTTTGCTATCGTGCTCCAAAGCGATGGGAAAGTCACCTCGATTATAAAAGATTTTAAATTGAGTATCACATTTTAGTAATCTGTGCATGAAAGCCCCAGCCTTAGGAGGAGACCCAACATCGATTTTTCGAGTGAACGCTACAGGCTTGAAGGCGAATTCTGGACAGCAGTGATCCACTAATTTACGTTTTGCATAATTATTTCCAACAGGATTCAAAGTATCAGTGCCCATTTTTGAAAAAGTGACAACTCTGTTATTCTGACAACAATAACTTAAACAAAAGACCGGAAAATTATATTGTGCAATCGGTCGATATAAAAAAACAGCAAAAACTGATAAAGTAAATAGTTTTTGTTGTTGAAGCTACAATATTGTGTTTCATGACAACCAATGTCTCGTGACACAACTATATAACAATAAAAAGATGTACATTTCAAGCAAACAAAACAGAAGAAATAGAAACGAGCATAATGAAATAAAACGCCAATGCTTAATCAAAAAAGGAGGAAATGAAGAGGCAACGTGTCAAATAGTCCCTTTTCCCGCATTCCGACGGGAAATTGTCATATATTTTCTTTTTTTGTCATCTTGTGTGAAGTTACGAAGGATTGTCTACTGTTCAGTTAAATGCATACTGAGCTGTCAGCTCCCCCTTTAGTTTATTCAGAATCTATGCACACTCACAAGCCGATATCTCAAGTTTCTGTCGTAAAACATACATTCATACAGTTGATTTTACTTGGAGAATTATACACGGTGAAGACATTTATTTACAGAGCATGTGATCACAGTTTACAATAAAGTTAATGACAGAAGGATGCTCACAAAAAATGTTCACTGAAGGCGTTAAAGTTTCATTGCCACAGACGAACATCTGTAAAAAAGATCTACCGTTAACGAATATTGTGTTCTAATAGTCAACCTCAAGTGAAAGCGTACGTGCTCTTATTATATGCACACAAGTGGCCTTAACGTAACGCGTGTAATTGAGAAAGTAGATGGGTGGTCTTAGTAACCTTAGAGCGTGACGACAATGCCTAAGGGACAACTGACTGTGGTCGGTCACACACGACCTTTTTGTGAGTAATTTTCGTATCAGCTCCGTATTTGTTGAGACCTCACCGCTGGAGACGGATAAGGCGGGGTGTATAATTTTAGGGTCGATCTTTTCTAACCCCACCACTCCTTGGGGAAGGCAGCTTCGCTGTTACTCTGGCTGTCTGAAGGAAACGTTTTGCTGCTGTCACACATCTGTACAGTCTGCAATACGACTTCGCCTTCGGACCTTCGATTTGTTGCCCTTATTCTTAGCGCTCTTCGACCAACCAGTCTGGCATGGTGGGACCTTGAGGAACGATTGTTGCTCAAAATACGCGGAACTCAATATAATGTCAAAATGTCAGCTATAAGGTGAGGAATATTGGCTCGACGGTGCAAACGACAACACGATATATGTTCGTGAAATTTATTTTCTACCGCCTCCACGGGCGATCCATCTTTCACTGAATCAATGTTTTCCCTCGAAATGTTTTGATATAATTCGTTCGTGCTCTTCCGTCTATGACCACACTCCATGTGAAAATATTTTGCATTTAAAATATTCGAACATCTTTAATATTTAAAACGAATGCCACCATGAGTTTTGTTTCTGAAAATTTGACCCTCAAAAGTAATCTGTACACGGCGAAACCACAGCTGCTAATCTCACTGCAGTCGTATAAAGCTTGTTTGGACCGGTTTTCACAGCACATGTCAAGAATATGATCTAGACCACTTCCTACATCCAGCTTCGTAAACAGATATTACCGAAAGCAGCCACGTGTAATGCGTCGAACAATAAAGTGCCCATTTGAAAATGAACGGAGATTTGTGAGTAACTATGTAGCAAGCTCAAACTAGTGATCATAGACATCAGTCTCTCCTTTGATGTAACGATTGTCAAATGAACATTGAAGACATGACGTCATCCAGATGTGATAGGGGATACCAAGTAGAAAAAGATGTGATGGCATACATCTATGTCTACTTCAAGACTGCTATAAAGTCTAATAGCGATATTTCTTCACTTTGCCAGAGCGTTTGTCGATGTAATACAATTGAGACTTGTGATCAAGATCGAGAAGTGGGTTTCGCCTACCCAATGATATAGTGTGTGTAAACTGGCGAACCTAAAAACCAGAAGTCTCACAGAGAACCAATATACAGACCTTTCTTTTCTCTATTACTACAAACGATCTTCTGGATAAAAAATCACCTCACAGTTCTTATCTACACTAATGACCTTAACCTCTGGAGAGCCATAGGAAACGAGTGAAACTTCTGTTCCAAAAGGACTTCGCGCTACTGACGTGATGGAAGAGAATAGTGGTATAAAGATCAGCCGGTCCAAATGTCACGTTAGGAATATCCATTGGCTGCTATACAAACCCCTGAAATCTTTCATGATCATTTCCCAGCAATCATCTTCATAGTTTGACCTAGGCTTACTGACTATATGAAACTCGGACACTAGTGCAAACGACACTTGGCACGTTGCCGAAAATCATGCAATTCTTCTTTTTACATGGAGATGGATTAATGTTGTCATCTCATAACTTTTTATACGCTCGAATAAACGCACACATCGTCTCGTCTCGTGTATCGTGCTTTTACACCACTTCTGTTTGTAAAAGACGTCTCTTCTAATAATGACAGGGATAAAAGACATAATGGGTGATAGCACTAAGGGATAGATACTTTGAAGAATGGACTCACCACTTGGGACTATTCCCATTAGAGTACATGTAAATAAGAGTTAAACTGATGATAATGTACAGAGCAATAAATACCTCAGGTTTCTCTAGTAAAAGGGTATCTAATTGCAAAAATATCAACTCATGAATTAATCCGCAGCTGACCCTAAACCAAATGGAAAAATCGTGGTAAAGTAGCTTCTTTTTTCCTTACTAGTAGATCTCATCTAGCATTTACTCTCAAATGACGTGGCTCTAGTATTAGACATTTTGAGGGGTGAAAAAATTACGTGCACGCTGAAAGTTTATAACTTTTCTCGTGGAATAAGTTTCAAATATACCCACGCAGATTTTCATCATTCGACTGTCCCTAAATTCATCTAGCACTACTATTCTTATCATGCTTTATGTGCCACTATTATTACTTTTTACTTTCTTACTCTGGTTACCCTTCCATGAATGAGGATAGGCCTTTCACCAGCATCTTCTATCCAATTCTATCCCTGGCAATCACTTCCAGTTCTTTTCAGTTGCTATTCATCCTCTTTACGTCTGTTTCCAAATTTTGGCACAATGAGTACTTTGACCTTCCTCTTCTTCCGATCTAGCGCTTACCTTGTGATGTAGTTTGGTGATTTCCTCATTATACATCCTATCCACTTCCAATTATCTTTCTTGATTCATTTTCAGCTGGAGTCTGGTTTGTTCTCTCCCACAATATTCTGTAACTGACGGTATACGGCCAACGGACATGGAGTATCTTCAGTTTAAAATTGTTTATATATACTTTTACCTTTTGATGATGGCTGTAGTAGTGCTCCGAGTTCCGGCTTTGTACAGTAAAGCTATCTTGACGTTCGTATTGATGTTCCTGACTTTGATACTGGTTGACAGTTGTCTCGAGTTCCATAGGTTCTTCAAATGTGGGAATGCTGCCCTTACTTTGCCAACCCTTTTTTTATTTGAATGTGATCCTTCTTGTTCATCAATGATGCTGCCCTACCCATCTCGCTCTTTTTAAACACCGTTTTTCTGCTTTTTCCCAATTTTTTTTCAACTAATTAACTTATCTAATCATTTAACTTCTCTTAACTCCCGTCTTCCCTCCTCCTCTCTGCACTCTGGTTTTGCAGTCCTTATATTAAAATAAGCCAGTCCACTATCCGGCAGTGTGATGGTTGCCAGTTCTATCTCTCCACTTCCCCGGGACAAATGAGTTTACAAGACCGGAAAAAACATACCAACTCGGACAAAGCCAACATTTCACTAGGATCAGTTCAGACGAGTAACCAGTTTACTCTCATTCGAATCTATCGAAAACCTGTAACCAAGCTGTGACACTGATAGGCGTTCGCAAGCTCGTCACACAGGATTGAATAGTGGTTATGTACTGCATCCCCGATCTTTTCAAAGTTAGACATTAGTTACCGCGCCAACTTGTAATGTCGGATAACGAAGAGGAACTAGTTTCAGAGGGTTTTGATGAAGACGAGGAAAACCTGGAGCACGGAGAAGGAAATAATGAAGAAGCTGTTCCTAAACAAGCTTTAAACAAAGACATTATTGCTGAAAACATATCAATACCATATAGAATTGGATACGGTTTTTCGTATGCTTATATAAAACTTGATTGTTCAGACAAGTTAGTGTCATCCTTTGAATTGAACTCAGAGTGTTTCTGTTTTAACTTTATTTGGCATGACCATCTTGCTTCAGAAGATTAAACTTTTAAGAGAATGTGTAAACGACAACATACAACTATGAACTTTACCGCAATTAGTACTCTGAGCTTGCCCTCTCCCTCTCCACGTTTTGTTCACAGTCCTCAAGTTTCTCATAAAAACTGTCTTATACCCGTTATCTTGAGATAACGGGTAAGATAACTACGTGTTGTTATTCAGACTTTGATAGTCTCAAATAAATGTCGACGGTTTTAGCAGTCTTGGTAATTTATTAACGCAACGAAGAATAAATATGAAACCTGGGATTTCGTCTTAAATCACGTCATTGTTAGCTAGTTCCCATCCAGAATTTGTCTCATTTACCTTCACTATCTGTCTTTGATCATAGAAGTTTCTTATCCAAATTTGTATGGTACTTATTATTCTATATAAGCCCTAAGTGAGATATCCTATCTATTGCTGGAGCCTACGAACATCACATCAACAAGCAAACGTCTACCTTAAAATCCTGTTTAACTCTCTCTAGAAATTAGTAATCTAGTTAGGTATTAATGCCTGTTTAAAAGTTCCTGTTACTCCGGAGTTAACAGATTACCTAATGCTATATGACTTAAAAACTTAACCATAATTCATTTTTAAATATCTTAATTACTATGCCAGTTGGACTGACAAGTAAGTGGTTAGATACGATCTGTCTCCTTTCAAACTTAAATATACGGCCAACGATGGCATCCTTCCATTCCTTAAGAAGTTGGGTTTTGGAAACAAACTTTGAAAAGCGTACTTAGTGGTTTTAGAAGAATTATCACGAGGGATCACAGCAATCCTGAATGTAACCATCA